TCGATGCCGACATCACCAATCGCTTATTACACACCTCCCTCCACCGTTCGCCTTCCAAATCCAGTCACTTCAGATCGGCTTTAATGCAATACTTTATTTTCAAAAACCTTAAGATGTTGCTCATCCCTTAATATAAGCGATGACGTTTTACATCTATAAAGAACTGTAGGTAAGATAATGGTTTTATAGATTCTAATTTTTAAGTTCCGAAACAAGAGGCGCGAGATAAATTGTTTTGTCTGAGAAAAATAACAAGCATTTCTAGCCTTCAGCTTAACCTTAATCTCCTCTCCAATTTCGCTTTTTCTAGTAAAAACAAAATTGAAGAGGAGATTATTAATATGAAATATAAATTTGAGAAGAATTTGATCGGAGGATACAGTCAAATAAATGTTTAAAAAATAGTTCATAAACATTTAGTATTTATTTGAAACCATCCTCCAAACAACTCCTCATATTATATCACGGTCAACCATCTCTACATCATTATGAAATATATAATTGGTAATTGGTTGACTGTCGTGGATGATGAAGAGAAGAATAGTTGGGGTGCTCAGTCAAAAAAGGAAGGCAAAAATAAATTATAATATTTATTTTTTACATATGCCGACGTTTCGACCTGAAGTTCAGGTCCAAACGTCAGGACCATTCTCACTTTGACACTTAAGGAGAAAGCCCTGATGATGGCCTGAACTTCAGGTCGAAACGTCGGCATATGTAAAAAATAAATATTATAATTTATTTTTGCCTTCTTTTTTTGACTGAGCACCCCAACTATTCTTCTCTTCATTATGAAATATAAATTTGTTTTTGTTCTATATTCACAAATTAATAAAATTTACAATATCGACAGCCACACTACAAAAACCTGTAAGGACAATGTTTTTGGAATATTAAGTTTTTTTGATTTTCTATTCGATCTTGTCCTGGCACATATTCTGATCCCACAAAATGAAATCTACGATGTTTTATTTCTTCTCTTTGGCCTTTTGTAAAAACTTGTAGTTTAAAAACCAGCAAATTGTTATGTAAAAAACTGTAAGTTACCGTGAAGGTTATAGAGATTGTATCATTATCGACAAAACATAATGAAAGGAACTAACGGATCTAGAAATTCATTTTTGGAGGGGGGAGGGCTTCAGCACGAAAGATTTTTTTTATATGTATATATTAGGATAATTACTTCGGAAGAAAGAAATAAACTAACTTTCTATATGAGATTGTGTGTTAAGTGATTCTTGAAATCCTATTAAATGTTGAACAATAATAATTTGAGAGATAATGTTTTTCATAAAACTCCTCCCTCCCCTCTGTAGATCTGCCTGTGATGAAAGGTGGTCATGTAAATAAAGAGTTCATAAAGCGTTTTGCGCATAGACTACAGTATCAATTAGTTTTATTAATCGGCTAAAATTATGTTTTCATATATGCTTTAACGTATTTTTTTTTTAAATTTCTAATAAGTGACGGGCACTTCCATGTCGGCGACTCTGGGCAAATGCCCGGGTTTTCCTGCTCTTAGGTCGCCACTGCTTACCATGGAACTAGACTAAGTAAAGAAGAGAGTGGTGAGTGGCACTAGCGGATCCAGGATTTCATTTTGGGGGAGGGGGGCTTCAGCCCGAATGGTTTTTTTTTTCATATATATAACGATAACTACTCTAAAAGAAAAAAAGAAAGATACTAACTACCTATATGAAATGGTGTTTAAGTGATTCTTGAGGTCCTATTATATGTAATTAAACGAGTAATAATACTTTAAGAGATATTTTTTACCATAAAACATGGTTACATTATACCATTTGGGTGGGGGGACTTCAGCCCGAAAGCCTCCCCCCCCCTCCTGGATACGCCTGTGGTAATTGGGAATTTAATATTAAATGGACTTCGAAATCTCCCACACACTGCAAAATGAGCTTGACTGGAAAAAAAGCTACAATTCTGTCGAATTCTAGACAGTGAGAGACGGAGAATTGATTCGTTAATAAGAAAATTTAACTCGAGACGAAAAAAATAACTAGTCATTTTCATTGTAGGTGGATCATTTCGAACAAATGAATTTTCGAAATCGCAAAAAGCTCAGAAACGAAGTAATCTATAGATTACCAGGTTACCTAGAATTTACCAAGCATTAACGAATCTTTCATAAAATACTTCAAAATGGAACGCATGCACTCAGTTCGAGACGCCCCTACAGTGGGAGATAAAAAGTGAATAACCCCTGTGATCAAATGCTCGCTTTCTAGTCAAATGTTTTATTAATTTTCATTTGAAGTATCGTTTCCTTACAATTTGGAAACTGGCTTTGTTCCTAATATGATTTGATCGTTATTAACAAAGTTATGAATGTTGCTACAATAAATTTGATTGATTTTACCTGTTTAAGTAATATCTAAATTATAGTAATACCTGTTTTCAAAGTAATTAAAAAGCTATAAGTTAGAAGTAATGGCTCTAAAACATTATTTGGCAGAAGTACGATCAAAAAAGTTACATCTTTGTTTTAGGCTTGCAAAAAAAAAAACAATATAAAACCGAAAATATAACGCTCATAGAACAAAAATTACACAGTTTTTTTGGTCTCCTGAAAATTTTTAGTTTTTTTTATTATAAGCTTTTACAGTGTGGCTGTCGGCATAAAGATATATAAAATATGACATTGCAATCTGGTTGTATAATGTATATGTTTGTAAATCTTTTATAAATAAAATCAAAAGGATATATTCGCTCTCGTGCTGACATCTTGTGATCGAGCTATAAAATTATTATTTATCTAAAGATGGTATCGCAACAAATATAGATTCATTGAAATTTAGTTAAATATTAAATGTTTTATTTAATGTATTGTCATATTTAAAATACATAAAGTAGAATGAAATATTTTATATATCAACTAGCTGATGTACTCCTCGTTTACGGGTGTATATTTAAAATTTGAGAATATTTTTTTGAGATGGATTTTGTATTATAGGGGAGGGATCCAAATTTAATTTCATAAAATTAGATGGAGGGGGTTGTTTTGAATTTTTTTATGGGGGCTTATGAAAGTCAAGGTTTCGCAATAGTCATAATAAAAACTTTGTTATTCGGCTATTTGTTTAGGCTATTTATTATGAAGCGAGGATATTGTGGAGTCGATACAAATATTCAAAATGATTATGTTTTAAGCGATAACGCGTTACAGATGCTCGGTATTTCGGATTTTTCCCGTTGAGTTGCGATAATTGAGTAGTACAACTTTTGAATGTGGCTCGGAGCAGAGTAGGTTGGGATGAGAATCGAAGTAACTGCCTAACCGGGATCTCTAGACAAATTACTCAAGAATTCATAACTTTGCTTCTACTCAATATTTTGTTTTCATTTAAAGCCTATGTTTTAAGTCAATCAAACCTAAATATAATGTCAAAATTTCAAAAGTCTATCATTAGTTATTGCTGAGCTTACCTCTGACAAAATTTCGTTGTACAATGCGGACATACAGACACAATTTTTTTTAAAAGTGGATTTGGTGTCTGTAATGTATGATAAACGGAAAGGTGTCATGAATTGGTTGATTCTATTCAATGTACAATCAAAAAGTTTATTTTATTTATATAGATAATTATACAAGAAACAACAAAATAAAATCCTGATTACTACTAAGAAATGTTATCTTTATTCAACAAAAATAATACCATAAATAATCATGATTTGTAGACTATATCTAATTTATCAGGGCTAAAAAAAAATTAATACATCATACAATAAGATTAGGTAGATTATATAAAAATGATAGTAATAAAAACTTAACTAGCCAAGAAAAATAAATAAATTAATGTTATAAATATTACAATTCAATTAGCTAAATGCTCAATAGAAATAAATAATAAGTTGGTACAAATGCATTATACCTCACTATTGCTATTATCATAATTGTGAAAGAGTGTTATTTTACTAAATAAAATAGTTTTACCAAAATTTATATTACCTATTCATATAGAAAGAATAGAAGAATCAACTTTAGTCTGGGACAAAGTCCCTTGATTATAATAATATTGTACATAAAAATTAACATAACATCTGGCCAAAATGCATATTACAAAAAAAAAAAAACTAAAAAAAAAAAAATGAAAGAAGTATTTAAATAACTATATAGATATGTTAAAGACATAATATGAGCAATAAGGTCCTAATACTGCAAAGTAGTTGCTATAAACAATAAATTATGGAATTTTAAATGAAATTAGATAAATATACTTATTTATTTTTGTTTATATAATTTTATTCTTGGTGTACCGTTATATTAATATTTTGTTTTTATTATTATTACCTTGTGTATTTTTCAACTTGGCTTATTTTATATAATTCTATTTATATCTATTTTTTCTAATGTATTTTTATTTTTTATTTTTAGCCCTGATAATGACCTACATATTTAGGTCAAAACTTCGAAAATCCTATTAAATCAGATGTGGACTACAAATCCTTATAATTTTAAAATAACCTTCTATATGTATACCTATTATTTTATATATTTATGTGAAGTAAATAAACATTGTAAGAAAACGATTTCTTATATTTTTTTTTCTTGAAATTTAAAACAATACACCTTTTAGAATAACATCCTAATACAATGAATACATTTTTAAATAATTCAAATTAAAATTAGTTTTAATAATGGGTATTTTAATCCATTCATAATTTGTTGTTTTTTCCTTTTTAAATTATCAATTTACGGCTGTCATTCAATTGAACGAATGAATGAATGAGACGTAAGTGTAGTAAATTGGCGTGTCGTGCACGAGGGAGGAGTGGGGATGCCTACATCTCCTTCATAATGGAATTAATGTTTTTCTTTTTTGATAATTTCTTAAGTTTCTTGTATTATATTAAAAGTTAAAAAAATACCTTTAAGATAAGAACAAATATATTAATATTACAATAAAATTGAATGGATATATAATTGTAAGGATGAGTTGTGTATATATATAATTATAATATATTATTTTGATACGACATACCTTGCAGACACGACAGTCGATACACAGCTCAAGATCAGACAGACCTCACCGTCGAAGAGGACGACACAGACTGGAGCGGACTGCCGCTGGAGTAGAAGCGGGGACGTACTGCGCCTGCGCACCCCCCTAGGCGTCCCTTTCATCTTCACCGCTTCGTCCCTTTGTTTTCGTCAAAGTTCGCTCCCAAAATGTAAGAATAGAAGAATAATGTTACTAAGAAGCAGGGAACTGTCCGCCATGTTGGAGTAGTCAAAGTGAACTTGTACAATAATTTGACGATATTTATTCAATTTGTTTTGTTATTGTCATTATTTTGTGTTAAGAATAGCTTTAGAGCTTCCTGGCGAGAACCACGAGGATATTGACAAGCTATGGGTAGAAAACAGGGATAATATTAAAGCGGTCGGTAACTCGTGTCTAATAAAAAAGGAAAATAAGAATAACAAACGGTGTTTTGATGAAGATTGCTTAAACATATGCGAAAACAGAAAAGCCGCTGAATCAAAAGCTCTAAATAATTCTAGCGAAGACAATCTGGAATACTTCCGAACTTCAAAGAACGAAACGACAAAATTGCTCTAAAATAAAAAAAAGGAGTATCTTAAAAATAAAATAATTGAAATAGAAACTAATAGAATCGAAAATAACGTAAGAGACATGTACAAAGGTATACACAGATCACGTAAATATGTAGAGTCCGTAACGTCTGGAATTAGGGATGATAATAACAATATTCTGACCGATCCGGTTGACATATTGAATAAGTTTAACGACCACTTTGACAATATTTTAAATAAGGTAAATTATGATCTATGTCCTCCTTCTGAGTACCAGAGTGCTGAACCGTTAATAGAAGGACCGAGTAAAGAGGAAGTTGAATTAGCTATCGGAAAATTAAAATCTTATAAAGCAGTGGGAACCGATAATATTCCTACTGAACTAATTAAGGCATGCGGGGATGCTGGAGTTTCTAAAATACATCAGTTGGTTGAAAAGATCTGGGTGAAGGAGAAATTACCTGAGGAATGGAAAGAATCTATTCTTATTTCGATTCACAAAAAGGGTCCGAGGACGGATTGTAATAACTATCGAGAAATTTCACTCCTTCCGGTATGTTATAAAATATTCACTTTAATCTTAACCAGTCGAATCACGGAATACGCCGAGGAAATTATCGGAGACTACCAATGCGGATTTAGACGGAATCGTTCGACTATTGATCAAATATTTTCTTTACGGCAAATATTAGAGAAAAAATTGGAGTACAACGGTATTGTTCACCAGCTGTATATAGATTTTAAAAAGGCTTACGATTCTATTGACCGCCAGAAACTGTATAATATTCTAATCGAGCAGGGAATTCCAAAAAAAAACTAGTAAATCTAGTCAGGATGTGCTTGACGGAGACACTGAATTAAGTTAGAATCGGTAATAATCTGTCCGAAAAATTTGAGGTTCGTTCGGGTTTAAAACAGGGGGATTCCCTTTCGCCTGTCCTGTTCAATTTGGCATTAGAACATGCCATTAGGGAGGTAATTCGTACCGAGAAAGGGTTGGATCTGGGCGGGACAACATCCGTGCTGGGCTATGCTGATGATCTGGTACTGTTAAGCGAAGACGTGGAAATTATAAAACTAAATACGACAACTTTAATGAAAGCCGGTAAAGAACGAGAGCTCGAAATAAACGCGGATAAAACAAAATATATGGTTAGCTGCAAAAATGGCGATATCGATATTTATGGTATTATGTTTGAACAGGTAGAGAAATTTAGGTATCTAGGCTCTATGATAAGTAGAAAAAACGAAATTGAAGAAGAGATTAAGGTTACACTGAAAGCGGAAAATGCTTGTTATTTTTCTGTGACAAATCTACTTAGTTCGCGCCTCTTGTCCCGGAACTAAAAAATTAGAATCTATAAAACAATTATCAGTTATTTATGGATGCGAAACTTGGCCGCTTACATTAAGGGATGGGCAGCGTCTTAAGGTTTTTGAAAATAAAGTATTGCGTAGAATATTCGGACCGAAGAAGGATAAGTTAACCGGAGAGTTCGGACGGTTACACAACGCCGATTTGCGTGAACTGTATCCTGGTAATATAATTGAGGTAATTTCATCGCGGCGAATTAAATGGGCTTGTAAAATTTCTGGGCTTAGTAACGAGAGAATTCCTAAAAACTTACTATTTGCTGTACCGAATGGTAAACGTCCGAGGGGTAGACCGAAACGAAGGTGGGAAGATTGCGTTAAATTGCGATCTGAAGGGACTAGGTTTGGACGGCAAACGGTGGAGGGAGGCGTGTAATAAGCGATGGTGTGTCCATGTGGTGTGCGATGGTGGTGTCGCCATCGAACCTTCGGGTTCGCTAAGCCTTTTATTATCATTGTTATTATCATTATTTATTATGCTGGTTTATTTTGTTCTCGTTAGGGTATTTGTAATTTTTATGTTTCTCATACCTTGTTATCTGGTTCTTTTCTTAGCCCTGATGATGGCCTGAACTTCAGGTCGAAACGTCGGCATATGTAAAAATAAATATTATCATTAATTTTTGCCTTCTTTTTTGACTGACCTCCCCAACTATTCTTCTCTTAATTATCAATATATATATATATATATTTTTAATCTTTCGGACTGAAGCCTCCCAAAACTAAATCTTGGATCCGTTAGTGGTACAATCAGGAAATTAATTTTACTAAGGAAGGTGAAATAATTGATATTTCCATAAATTAATCTAAAGAGGAAAATAATTTTTGGTGTGCTTATGTGCTGGAATACCAATATTTATATTCAAATTTGAGAATCACTGTTTTCAAAAACGTTTATAATATCAATCAAAATATTTCAAGTCTTATATTGTGATGGTATCGATAGTTATAGGTCGATATTTCTATCGTTGACAATATCTATATTGGACTTTGGATTTCCCATCCCTAATAGAGGACTTGAATTGGAGAATATTAAAGGCAAACGAGGGGGGATGATAGCTGATAATCTGGTTAAGGAATGTTTCTAAGAAATAGTACACGAGGTTGTAAGTATCGTCCGTCGGAAACATAAATTTATATTTATTTTAATATTACCTTAATGTTATCGGTAAATCGGTTCAGGTATTTATTTATGTATTTACTAATAAGGTTTCTAGATACGCCGTACGTCCAGTGTGAGCGATGAGACGTTTGTCTATGTGTCATTCAGACGTGAGACTATATTATATTATCACTTTGGTAACAATCCTATGTTCTATACCAGAAAAATCTGAATCGGTAATATTAGAAACCCCATAAGTCATAAAGACAAAGTTTACCGTAAACAACAACAACAACAAAACAAAGCGAAAAGATTCAAGGTAACCCAACACTACTGATAATTAGAATGTAACTCATTGTACTGTAATGGTTACCAATTAAGACAGTCGAAGTAATTATAGCATTAAAATTTAAATTTTCCTCAATTATGAGGTTTCTTAAATAAATCAACTTTACAGAAATAGGGAAAGCATCGTATTTTTGCTAACTGCCCAAAGTAGCGAAAGTTAGTATTCGTGGGGAGGGGAGAGAAGGTTAACAAAATTTTGTGCTCAGAATAAAAAAATTCCAACCATATATTACGTTTTGGTCATCGAGGAATAAATTTGGTTCATTGAGGAATAAAGGTAGAGAAACTTTGTAGTCGTGCGAGAGGTTAAAAAAAATGTGCTCAGGATCGCAAAATTCCTCTCGCGTTTTACGTTTCATACATCTAGCATCAAATTTGGTTCGGTGCCGGTCTGTCTGTAAACAAATCGATGTGCCGAGCTTATCACCTGCCACCGTTTATCTGATTTTCATGAAATTTTCAGGGATTGCACAGATGTATGCAAATTCCGGTTAGGCAAGCACAAATGCATTGAAATATGCCAATATTTCAGAAACGGCTCGATTTATGTGGCTCAACGTTGAATGAAAGCTAGTTATTGGTAAAATAATGAAGCTATATCCATTTTATTTCATTCTTTACAGCACTTATGCCATATGCCATGAAGATATGCCATAATTTCATAAAGGGCTCGTTCGATTTGGCTCAAAGTTACAAGAAAGGTGAGAATTAGTAAAAGTGTTGTTATTATCAGTTGACCGACTTGCTAAGTAGTATGAGCTAATGGATGAAATTCATTAAAAAAAAAAAGTCTAAACAAAGGTACATAACAATTTGTGATCCGCTGTACAAATTTGAATATAAATATTGGTATTCCAGCACATAAGCGCACCAGAAAAGATATTATTTTCCTCTTTAGGTAATTTATGGAAATATCAATTCGTCTACCTTCCTTTGTAAAATTAATTTCCTGATTGTACCACTATCGGATCTAAGATTTAGTTTTGGGGGCTTCAGTCCGTAAGGTTTGAATAGTTTTGGGGGCTTCAGTCCGTAAGGTTTGAATAGTTTTTGAGGTAATTATTAAATTTTTTTTTCATAAGATATGGTTATATTTTACCATTTTTGGGGGAGCCCGAAAGTCCTCCCTCCCCCTTCCCCGGCTTTGGATTGTACCTCTACAATCCATGAACGGTCTTGGGTTCAATACTATTTAGGAAAAATACAGTTTCTTTGTGAACGGTTGTGCAATGATGTGATTTGACTGATATCACTCTCAACTACCAGGTTTTCTCACTTAATTGATTATTTAATTAAGGATACCCATTTTGTAGAGGCTGGGTGACCCCTGGAAGGTCTCCTGATGCCAGGGTCGCCCAGCGTCTGACGAAACACAATAAATAATTATTATTTATTATTCATTATAATAAACCCTAATATCGGATAGAGTTGAAGATATCGGAAAAAAATCAATAACTTGGAACATTTTTACATACGAAAAAAGTGCGCATAGTTTATTTTATCGATTAATTATTCTTTTGTCACGTAAATCTTTTAAATGTTTTAGCTAAATTTACTTTAAAGAATTAATCTGATAATAACTTGAAACGCCACAAAGTATGTTAAGGCTATTCATATTTTATAATAATAATAATAATAATAATAAGGCTTAGCGAACCCGAAGGTTCGATGCCGACACCACCAATCGCTTGTTACACACCTCCCTCCACCGTTCGCCGTCCAAACCCAGTCCCTTCAGATCGGCTTTAATGCAATCTTCCCATCTTCGCTTCGGTCTACCCCTCGGACGCTTACCATTCGGC